AAGAACTTATGCTTTTGTATTTAAGTATGCAACTATATTTCATCTAATTATTTTTAAGTATTTACAATCAAATTCATCATCAATTATTTGATTTTGAGAATGTGTAGATCCTGACAGTTGATAAAAGAAATTATGATATTTAGATATGGTACATTTGGCATATAACATATCACCTAAATAAATTTATTTCAATTATGCCTCATTAAAAAATTTTCACCTCTACAAGTACTGAGTTATTTGTCTATGGCACACAAAAAAGTATACAAATCAGAACAATGTATTATCACATATTTAAAAGAACATGTATTAACAAAGCATTTAACCACCATCTACAGTATAGATTAAATACAATTTATTATACTCTAAGTTATTTAAACATGTCTATTTAAAAGTTGACATTACTCTAAAAGAAGGCACATAAAAAAACTCGTATCTTAACATTTTCACATAAGATAAGATAGAACAGGATAGAGTCCTTTAAAAATAAAATAACACGAAATTGATGTCTCATCATACCAAAAGAAGAAAAATACTTAATTTGACTATTTTAAGAAATCTGGCATTTGTTAGAAATAAGTCTTATTAACTTTTCTCAGATTGCCATTATAAAGTATCTAGTTTAGAAAATCATAAGTTGCAATATATAAGTTGTTACAACATATCCATTTAAGTTTATATGGATAAGAAAAAGATAAGAAGGTGGCAAAAATTTTCTATCCACTATCTAAATTACTAATGTATTGAATGAAATAATCTAATCACTTAGTTTTCAAATTTAACATATTTCTACAGAATCAAGACTACATTTTAAAATAAAATTACTCTTCTATTTTTCTAGCACTACATTTTGTAGGTAAAGCTCACGGCCCTTATAGTTCTCTATGATATGCAGGATGTCTAGGGGTTTCAGTGTACCACTGTCCCTCAGTATTCAAGAGGGACTGATTCCAGGACACCTCCCTCAACCAAAATCCACGGATACTCAAGTCCCTTATATAAAATGGTATATTTGCATACAACCTACACATATCCTCCTGTATACGTTAAATCATCTCTAGATTACTTATAATACCTAATATACTGTAAATATCATATAAATGTTGCCATAGTTTTAAATTTTTATTTTTAATTGTGTGTTATTGCTTTTTGTCGAATTATTTTCCATATGCAGTTGGCTGAATCCACAGATGTGGAACCTGCAGATGTAGGGCCGACTGTAAAACCCATTAATACTAGCAGAATTTCTCCCTATACATTTCCCTAGCGAAACTTGTCCTCAGTAAAAATTGTTAATGTTAGTAAGACTCAATATCAAAAAGAAAAAAAAAAGGTTTAGCTTCCAATTTTCTGAACATACACTGAGAGATAATAAATAGCTTCTAAAAAGGGTTCAATGATCACCCAAATAATCTTTTTTTTTTTTTTTTGAGTTGGAGTCTCACTCCGTCACCCAGACTGGAGTGCAGTTCTTCCACCTCAGCCTTCCAAGTAGCTTCCACCTCAGCCTTCCAAGTAGCTGGAACTACAGGTGCATGCTACCACGCCCGGCTAATTTTTTATTTATTGTAGAGATGAAGTCTCGCCAAGTTGCCTAAGTGTGTCTTGAACCCGCGGGCTCAGGCAATCCACTCACCTCAGCCTCCCAAAGCGCTGGAATTACAGGCTGAGCCACCGAGCCCAGCTTAAATATCTTCTTTATACAGAAATTCTCATAAACTGTACTACACTAATCATGGTTATATGGGGAGAAGCAGACATTTAGCAAAATTACATGCATTTAAACTTTTGAAAATGAAAATTAAAAAGATTGACTCAAAAACTGCTACAGTAAACTTACTGCAATGAGTGAGATTCTGGTGTTTAAAAATACATCAAAATGAGTTTCTTATTTTACACAGTCCCTAAATGCTAATGAACTGTGTCATCTGACACAACCAAAAAATGACAATCTTGAACAATGCTGGAGAAAAATGATTATAGCAGACCATGTTTATACTACTTTATGGTTAACAAAAAATTTTCCAAAGGCAATTTTTATATACATAATTTTTACCTTTCACACTGATGTTAGAAACAAACCACCAAAAAAAGAAGTATATTGCACTTTTTTGAACACAGATCTCTTTTATAGAAACAACTTGTAGAATTAATGGTCCACAGAACACACTTGGAAAAACTAATTTGCTGTACAAAACCAACTTTCAAATTGAACATTCATTATCAATTCTGAGTAGTAGCATGCTGGAAGTGTTATATGAATTACATCTCATATTAATTTGCTTGCAATAATTTCAAAAAATAAAGTTAACTACTGCAAAGATATATTAGAATTCTATTAAAATCATTTCAAATTAGAATTATAAGATTCATTAGACTCAAAGTCATAACAAAGATTAAAAAGAAGATAAAATTGTCAAAAGGATGTATCATATTATATATTCAAGACTTTTTATAATAAAAAATTTAACTCTACTACCAGGTATAAAATGCCTTCTTTTAAATTCAGCCAATGAAATTAAGTAGTCAACATGCTAAAATAGTACAAGTGTTCTTTTTATGTTTATTTTTTTCTATTTCTATAACTATAACCTAAATTTCTAGTTTAATTTCTTCTCGCTCCAATGCCTACTCCTAAATGCTACTCTTCCTAAATCACAGCTCTAATCACATCAGTCCTCTAATTCAAAACCTTCAATGGCTTCTCGCTGTACAATAGGTTTAAAACAGTATTTTATGTGATCCATAATCTGGTACCAACCATCATCCAAATTGATAGCCCTCAAGTTCACCTTCAAATACTCTTTGCAAACATGTTTAAGAATGTAGTATGAGCCAGGCGCAGTGGCTTATGCTTGTAATCCCAGCACTTTGGGAAGCAGAGGTAAGAGGATTGCCTGAGACCAGGTGTTCCAGACCAGTCTGGGCAACTTGGTGAGACCTCGTCTCTACAATAAAAAAATTTTAAAAAGAAATTATCTGGGTGCAGTGGTATGCGCCTATGGTTCCAGTTACTTGGAAGGCTGAAGTGGAATTATCACCTGAGTCCAGCAGGTCAAGGTTGCTTGCCACTGCACTATAGCCTGGGTGACAGAGTGCGATTTCAACTCAAAAAAAAGAAAAAGAAAAAAGAATCTAGTATGATTTAGGCACCAAACAAGGTTCCAAAATACTCTATTTCACTGGTTGTCATGCTTTAGCTTGGATCATCAGTTCCAGAGGAATTACTAACCCTACACCCAGAGTTTCTGATTCAGTTTCAGTGGATTTACATTTCTAACAAGTTCTCAAGTGATGCTGAGTTTGCTGCTGGTCAGGACACATATTTGGGGAACCACTGCTCTACTCCAAGGCCACAAAGTGGAAACCCAGTGGCTCAGTGAGACTCGCTCGCATGTTGTATGCATAGTGTTTTAAAAACATTTTTAATCATTTGCAAACATTTTAAAATTGGAAAATTTCACATAAAAAATGCAGATGTCTGACTTTTTCCTGCATGTATAAATTCTACTGGAGCTAAGCAGCAGCTACTCTATTTAGTCCAGGGAGATGCCCTTCCTAGTCCAGGCTACCTACCACAACCCAAATCGACTCTCTATACTCACTTAAAATCACCTGCTTGGCACTGCATTTGTGCTTATACACTGGATCCACTTTTTCTTATACTGTGACTTTTTTACAACTGCTCCCTCTGACTTCAAACACCTATTCTCCTGAATTCTACCTTCCCCATTATAAAACTTATCTTAAAAATCCTTTCTCAACAAAACCCAAGTAAAAAATAGAAATTCTTATATAATATGAATGTTAAAGAGTTAACATAAATTTAATATGTGTTCTTTAAGAATCAAGTTTTATTTCCACAAAGACTAAAATATAACAACATTTACAAAAAAGACTACAGAATATATCATAAAGTATAAACATAATTTTTTTGCTATTCTTATTCTAAATAAAATTTTTATTCTGTTCACTTTGCTTTTTACTGTGAAAGAAATAGTTTCTCAAAATAAGACATTTAAAATGAATTAAGGAATGTCTTTAAATCACATAGCCAAAATATATAATAGCACCAGTGGAATACCATATGTTATTTTGGGGGACAAAAAAGAGGGGCGAATGGGATAATTCATACAATTCTCCTGATTTTATAACCTAACAATTTTTAAAAGCAAGTTTAATTAAATAAATACTTCTAGTATCTAAATCTGGAGAATATGTTTGTGGATGTTTATTTCTATAGAATAGTAGGTAGAAAAAAATTACACACAAAATTTGAGTGCTGGTCCTTGCTCTGCCATAAATAGCTTGGTTGTCATTGAGTTCTCCCTGGACCTCAGTTTCATTACCTCTAAACTTCAGAGGTGAGAAGAAGTGATGTCCAAATATATTCCATTTCAAAAATCCTAGGACTTTCTCCTTCAAAAGATGAAAGTATAAAACCAATGTCATACAGACAAGCTTCTTGTTATTAGATTGGTATAGCTTCTAACTTTGACTTAAAAACCTTTACAACTTTCAAAGTTCTAACTAAAAATGTTGAAGATGCAACTTTTAAATAATATGGATGTATTTATATACGTATTTGTGTATATCTTTTTTTTTTTTTTTTTTTTTTTTTTTGAGCCAAGATCTCAGTCTGTTGCCCAGACTGGAGTGCAGCATGCAACGATGGCTCACCACAGCCTCCTCTTCCTGGGCTCAATCCTTCCGCCTCAGCTTCCGGAGTAGCTGGGACTACAGGCTCACCACCACACCCAGCTAATTTTTTTATTTTTATTTTTTTGTAGAAATGAAGTCTCATTGTGTTGCCCAGGCTGGTCTCAAACTCCTGGGCTCAAGCAATTATCTTGCTTCAGCTTTCCAAAATCCTGGGATTACAGCATGAGCCACCATGTTCAGCCTATTTGTGTATATCTTAATGATCAAAATAAAAGATCTTTTGTAAGGCCAACAGTTAAACTTAGAAAAAGAGTGGGAGAAGAATATGAAAAATATAACCATGCTAACCTATCAGTAAATTTTAGTATCTCTAAAGATAATGAAATAATTAGAAAATCATGTCAGAAAAGTTTTTCCAAAACAGAGATTAACAACATTTTTCAAGAACATATATTCTGCATCAGGATAGTCCTAAAGTAGTTTGGCCAAAATCAAAATTATCAAACTGCAAGACTGAAAAAATGAATCTTAGAGACTACTATATTCAGGCAGATCATGCCGTAAGCGAATTGCTTTCAGCTTCTCCACTTCAATTTTTGCTCTGAGTAGCTCTTCCTCTAGCTGCTGCCTTCTTTTCAATCCATCCCTCTTCTCCTGAACATATAATCCAAAATTTTTTTGATTTTCTAAAATTATTTGATGCTCCTCTTTCAACATTTGCAGGATCTGAGGATCATACCCTAACAGTGACCTAAAGTGTTCTCCACTCTCATGCCGAAAAAAATCATCTCTCCTTGGAATAGAAGATGGAGACGATGTCATTCTCATATCAATAGAGGAAAGTGAAGGTGACAATGATCTTTCCATAACATGTACTAATTCATGTTCTTCTCTTTGCTCTAAAGTATCACTCTGTTGCGAATTTAAGAGCAGTGGAGGAGGTGGTTTAATGTCTTCTTCTTGCTTCACCTCTACTGTAATAGCAACAGGATGTTGATCCAACATTACCTGTAGTGAACTGGTACCAGCCTGTGCCTCCTCATCCAAGTTTGCACTATAGCACACAAAAAAGCATTATCAAATGAAGCATTATCAAATGAAGACAAGAGTATCTTTATAGCATAATTTCATATACATTCAATTATAAAGCTTTAAAAGTATAAAGAAAGTTATGAAACCAAAAATTTTTAACACTTGGAATAACAAATTAAAGCGACTAAGACTGGAATTTCCACAATATATACAAACAGGTCTCCCCCATCCTTAACTTTAAAATTAGCTCTTAAAGAAGTAGAAAATTACAAATATTGCACAAGTCTAATGAAGTAAATTTTTTAAAAAGTCATTGTTAATGCTCTCAAATGCACATCAATAGTCCCTACAATTCCAAGGTTCTCAAATGGTGTAAAGCCATTCAATGAATTCTCAGTCTTGTTATTCCCTATGCCTTAGCTCTAGGCCTCCTGCTTTGGCTTTCCTGGACTGATTTAAAAATCATCAAGGTCCGTAACTTTTAAGAGGGTAGTGGAAGACCACCTATAGGAGGTACTGACTTCTGTATTTGCCCCAAAAATAAAAATAAAAATTCTGTATGGACTTGGAATATGCCCAATTATCAGAGGTTATCCCAACTATCCCATTTCAGATGCAATGGCATTGCCCTTTTACCTGTCCTGAACTACTAAAGACTCAGTTGGTCTTTAAGTCTTTCAACCATTGGTCAGGTACCTAGCATAATACAGTACTTACCATAATACAGTACCTAGCATAATACAGTACTTAGAACCTAGTAGGTACTGATTATACGTTGAATGATTGAATAAACAAATAAAATGATTTTAATGAATGTTTTTAATGGCCTATACAGATATATAAAGATTTATTAAATTTACACATTAATTTCCACAAAATATGCATTTCTAGTAAGGGCAACTACAGTTTTAGCATAAGTTAAACTTCAACATAACAATATTTGGTATGACATTATAAATACAATGCATCTTAAAATTCTGTTTGTTAAAACTAATTTCACGTATAACATGAAGCTGTTAGTTAGGAATATGTGCTTCTTGAGATTTTTTTAAAATTATGCTTCTAACATAAAAATAAAAGTTATAGGAGAAAGATTATTATTATAACATTAATGAAAATATTTTATTAAACATTACTTAGTGAACATTTTACAAATGACAAATAAGTAACAGTTAAGATACATTCTACATGGATTATTAAAATGCTAGATCAAGTTCAAGTAGTGTGTATGGAAAAAAATTAAGACTCTCCATATGTCACTTAATCATGGCATTAAATTGTCAGGAATATGCAGTATTTATCTAAGAGGTAAAATTAATTCATATATATATAGCATATAATAAATAAAACTATCTGTAGATTACATCGATGCCCTCATTTTTGTTCTTGTCCTTTTTTTGGTCATTTTATGATTTCCAAAAACAAAACAATATATTATAACTATAATTCAAATTAGCAAGATCAGCTTCTATAACCATGTCTGCTAAAATCTGGAATAGAAAAGGTTAAAACTACATATGAATAGTAAGTTTTGAAAAATCCACTTAATTACTATTCCAAATTAGCATGTATAATAGAGCATAAAAGTAGACATTATGCTCCCAAGCAATTTAAAAATAGCCTTATATCTGGAATATTCCATTCCATTTTAGTAAAAACATAACAAATAAGGCATAATGTAAGTAAAAACGGGGAAAAGCTTTAGAGGTCACAATGCTAGAGAAGGACTTTTAAAATTTATGAATCTGAACTTTAAGGATCAACTAGTTTACAAATATTCAAAGTAAAACCTGATATTAGGGAGAGGTGAAAATAAAGACATAGATCAATGTGAGTTGCAGAAATAAATAGCCTTACAAAATAGGCATATACTTTTAAATATATTAAATAATATAAACACTAATATTCTCCTATTAAGAAGGAAGAATTTGGTGAGATTAACAGGTATATCTATGTAGAAGCATAATTAAGATTATAGAATAATTGTAAACTTCTGAGACCACTAAGATTCAATATAATATAAGTACAAGCACACTAAATACATAAATATACAAAATGAGTAAGCTAATATAGAGGAAACGTCAATGTAGACACACTGACATAAGAATTTAAGTGGCATGTTTCTTATACTCTTCCCTTTAAAATTCAGAAATTTAGTATTATTTAAACAGTAGATATAGAAACGTATAAATCAATTAACTCATCTTGATCCAAGAAATATTGGTGTCCCAAAAGATTTTGTGTGTGTCTGTTATATGTATTCACACACAAATGGTCAAAATGTAACCAGATATTTGTATGTTTATATATTATTTCTCTTCTATAATCACTGTATTTTTAAAAGATGCAACTAACTAAAATTAGTTTCTACATGTAGTTTTCAAATTATAAAAACATATACTTAATACCCAAAAGGTATAATTTTATACTTGTAATGCAAAAAATGCTTCTCCATGGTTCAAGGGGGAGAAAATTCTGAATAAGTAGCACAGCATAAAACAATTTTACTAGGGAGTTTTTTGGATATCCAGCATATAGAAATTTAATCATTTGTCATCACAGTGAACATTTTAACCAGTGCCCCCAAAAATTAATCCACTGTGCATCCATGTCCTGGATTCCCACTGGTGATATATACATATATATATATATGTATTTTTTTTTTTAAACCGTGTTATCAAGTAGAAATAAGCAAGCTGGACATGGTAAGAAGCTAGGCTCAAAAATATTTTCCTTTTAAATTATCAAAATAACATATGTATGGCTAAAAACTTTTTTGGTTTTTTTCTGCTTCTCTCCTAATTTCAAAGGGATTTCACAGGTAATCAATAGTTTGCTTGTATAATGCCTTTTCCACCAAAAGAAAAGCACACTGTGAAAAGCTTTGTTTGAAAGGCCCTTCAACTAACAAGGAGTTTACAATTTGCTTAAATTACTTTAAATGGCTCAAAAGAAGAATGTAGCTGCCATTTTTGTCTTTTGCCAAGGGTTACAATCTGAATTAGTGGCAAGATAATAGTTTTAAAGATTCCCAGGCAAATAGCTATATAAAGCACAAATTTAACCAAAAAAACTGTTTCTAACCCTAAAAGAACCCAGTTGTTTTTATGGGTATATTAAACTTCATAGTTTGATATCCTTGCAAAGCAGTAAGAGAAAGCTTACTACTACTTGTATGACCCAAGATCAAAGTGAAACCAGATCATTAATGAATAAAAACAACAAAAACTTTTAATTTTCTTAAGTAATTGGAATCCCTAATTAGGCACTAATTTCCTTTAGTTGTGTTCATCTTATTTATTTTAAATGTGGTAGAAAAATAATTGAAACTGCCTTCATATAGCAATCATTTATTAATAAGTTTACTCAATTATAGATTTTAGTTCTATTTAATAGTTCAGTGTATATTCAGTAAGTGCAGACAGTGACAATACATAAAAAAGCAAAGATTCTATTTCTCCAGAAACTGCTAACTTTATACAAATTTTACTTAAAATTGAAGATTTCAATGAAATGTAGTCTTAAATAAGGAAAAAAGTATCTCTGAGAAACAAATTAAATAATTTAATTTTAAAGCTCAAAAAGTTTATGAAGTGATGTCACAAATTTCATCCCATTTATTCCTCCCTAACCTTTACTTTTAGAAACTACAAGAGGGAAAATGGGGAGGGGAAGGCAGTAAAAAGTAGCTTAAATCAAATGCAGCAGAAAAATTCCTTATAGCCTCACTTTTCTTTTTTTTAAGAATGCAAAACAAAGACACTATTCATTGCTCCCGTTGTGGGGATGCTTACTATGCATATCTCTATCACAACTAAGCCAAAGCCCAATAGATAGGAGGCGCCATAATTTTCCAAAACAAAATAAAATAAAGCTTACCTTTGTATGTGGTTCCTGTCTCTTATCAGGCAAAAACTGGAAATCTGGGGAATCATCTCCATAACTTTCTTGGTTGGCTCAGAAATATTGCTTTTAAAATCTGATTGGGTCTCTTTTTGCTGCAATAGCTCCTGTTTGGCATATTCTTTGAGCCTTTTGTAAAGGGTACGTAGGCCCTGCGCTGTTCGAGGAGGGCGGTCTACTCCAATTGCATTATAGTTAACTGCTATGATATCCCAACATCTATTCTTTTCCACTATCACTGAATGTTTATTAGTGTGTTCTTCGAGGATTTTCACATATGGCTTCACAAGCTTTAGCAAATCAAGCTTTTCAGATAAGGTAAAATTGGAAGATCTAGCCTTTCCTACCATTGTTCTTTTCAAATTAAGTAGGCAGTTTCTGAAACCACCATGCAGCCTTCAGCTCTGCTCAGCTCTTTTCACAAACAGAAAAAGATCAGGCTTAACTAGGCTAGCCTCATTTAGGCCCACGCCTACAGGGGAGGGTTTATTAAAATTCCTCCAGCTTAAGCTGACGCAGGTTCAGGAAATCTGCTTAAGCCAAGCCTGACCTACATAAAGCTTCTCACTGAAGAAGACAGGAAGGCACAAGCAAAACACACTTGTGTATAAAGAGAACAGCCCGAGATAGGATTTAATACACAAAGGTCTAGAGATAACCATGAAACACAGCTAAAAATTAGCTAATTTAGTGAGAATATTGAATTTCCACACATGTATGCCTAGCTGATAGACTGAAACTGCATTGCAGTATCACTTTAATAAAAACAAAAGAGGAACTGTTTTGTTCTATTTGTTTACAAATCCAGTAGACAGAAAACTAAAAGATATGAGTGGTGAATGGAGTGATTCCTAACAGAGCCCCTCATCACTGTTTTCAAGCTGTGTTCTCCCTTACAAAATCTGCATAATGCTGGTCCTGCTGTCAATCAGAAATTGCATATCCTCTAGCTAGTTAGGTTACACCCAAACTCAGACTCCATAGTAAAGCTAAGCTTCCCCTTCATTTTACAGTCTACATTAGCCCCTGCATATTTTTTCAGTTATTTATGAAGAAATCTTTGTTGAACACTAAATCTAAAAGGTAGCTAAAATTTTTATTTTTAAAGCAACAGACTATTCTAGCTGTAATATATATGAATATGCTAGCCTGCTTTATCATGTGTAAAAAAAAAATCATTATTCATGGTGAAAAACAGCATAATCACGACTTAAGACTTCATACACAAAATCGCATTTGCTATTATAATAGAGCAGAATTTTTTATTTAGCTATATTCACACAATTTGGGCTATGAAAGAAAACAGCAAGTCTAGCCATTTTCAAAGCCACCAGTTTCCAAGCTTAGAATATATTTTCTAATCCCAATCTGAAAGTAGATGATAAATAATAATATGTCAAACAAGCCTATTTTCTCACGATATACATGTTTCTTCAGAAAAGGGAAGGAATTAGAACATACTTGAACACAGTTCCATTCAATCAAACAATTACTGAACACCTAAAAATGCTCCTAAGCATTGTGTAAAACCCAAGGAAATCAAAGGTTAATCTAGATACAGCCCCATCCAGGAAACTGTAGTTCCACAGAAATGCTATAAATTCTCAATTACTTTTTCATTCAATAGAGAAACTAATTTGACTTAAATTTAATTTAATAATAAATTTAATAAATTAAAATCACTCATTTCTCACTATAAGCCAATTGTGCTAGAAGCTTTTGTAAGGGAGCTACAATTCCCACTCATCCTTCCCCAACCTCTCCCCACTAATCGATACAGGAAACTGCCCCTCAAGCCTGTCTTAACATTACAAAACAGGAAGGCCCTGCTGTAACTGCCCCTCAAGTCTGTCTTAACGTTGCAAAACAGGAAGGCTCTCTCTAACCGCCCCCCCCAAGTTGGCTCACAGAGATGGGAACGGAGACCCAAACAACTTCCCAAGGAGCCTCTACCCTCCACCTCAGAGCTGGCTCACAGAGACAAGAAAGGAAGACCCAACCGACTTCTCACGGAGCCCCTTCTCCCACCTCCAAGCTCAACTGATTGCAAGAAATTTTCCACTCTGGACCCCTTTACCCTACTCTCATATAAAAGACCCTGCTTCAAGTTGGGGCTGATGCCACTTTGGTGTCAGCCCAGGCGTTTTACTTTAATAAACTCCTTTGCCTTAACATAGAGTGTGTGCTACTTTTCGGCAAACCTTACAGCTTTAAATGTATTATATGTCCGAAAAAAAGTGCAAGATTGCTGGGTGTTCTGTGGAATGGTAGGTGCTGTCTGGCACACTTTACTGGGTAGTCTGATTCTATAATAGCCATACCATCTCCCTGTCTTTGAAGAGTTTTGCAACTCTGTAAATTGTAGAAAACATAATATTGCAAATGATTCTTGTCTATACAGAAGCAAATTGAAAACTGGCCTACCCAACAACAACTGGACCAGGGGAATTCAGTCATTCTAGCTTTTCCTGAGCTTTTAAAACACTAAAAGAAAACCAAGGAAAGCAAGAACACATGGTATACACTTTATTTAGATAATTATTTTGTTATTTTCAGAAGTACAAGGTATTGTGTTAAGAAATGAAATACTAATAAAAATATGAAAAAAGTTCAATCTCACTAATTACCAAGGAAACATATACTAAAAATGAATTTCATCTATATATTGGCAAAATTGTTTAAGACCGATAATGTCAAGGATGCAAGGGAAAGCTATTCTATATTGTTGAGGGAGTGCAAAACGGCATTTTGGATGGTAATTTGGGAGTATCTATTAATATTTTACATTAGTAAAAAATCTAAAATTATGGTAATTTTACTTCTCAGAATCTACCTTAGAAAAACAAATACTCAGCTGGGCATGATGGCTCATGTCTGTAATCCCAGTACTGTGGGAGGCAGAGGCAAGAGGATTGCCTAAACCCAGGGATTTGAGACCAGCTTGGGCAACTTGATGAGACCTCATCTCTACAATAAGTCAAAAACTTAGCCGGGCGAGTTGGCGCACGCCTGTATTTCCAACCATTTGGAAGGCTGAGGCACAAGGATCTCATGAGCCCAGTGGGTCAAGGCAGCAGTGGCCATGAGCGTGCCACTGCCCTCCAGTATGGGCAACAAAGTGAGACTCTGACTCAAAAAAAAAAAAGAAAGAAAGAAAAATACTCAAATGCATATAGAAGCAATGAAGCACTCTATGTAGTTGCATAGTATTGGAAACAAAGTAAAAGTATAACTGCTGGGTATTGCTTAAAATCAGAGTACATCCCTACCATAGAGTACTCTAGGCAGCATTAAAATTAAAGAAGCAGATAGTAATGTATTTATTTGAACATTTCATACAGATGGCACAAATTAGTGATACCCTGTGCAAATTGCAACTGATTCAAGTATTCATTAGTACTTTTATTATAATTAAGTTATCTTTCTAGTTTAAAAACAATGGTCAAACTGGGTCAATGCTGGGGTGGCCGTGAGCATGCCACCGCACTCCAGCCTGGACGACAGAGTGAGATTCCAGCTCAAAAAAAAAAAGGAAGGCATACTACTGATGCAGAATTTAGTGGAAAATATTGTGCTCAACTTTCTTAAGCAGGATCAAAAAGCATCATGGATATAGCTGTTAAAAACATTAGGAATATGTGTGCAAATGCTATGAATCATTACTAGTTTACGGAACTGGTAAAAGAAATGAAATAGTTTTTCTTTTTTTTTTTTTTTTTTGTTCTTTGCCAGTGGTTGTTGGTTTAATCATAGAGAGTTTGGTAAAGAATTATTGTGCTGACAGTGAAAAACTCAAATTGTTTTCCTCTGCTCTCATACCACAACAGTCAACACAGAAGACTTGTGTGAGCATTTCTCACCACATTCCAGGCAAGCAATCAATTCTGGAGCAGAAACCAACTGGGTGCCCTCCAATTCAATTCCAATACTATCTACCAGGAGATAATGTCAGATCCCAGTTAAGGGCTAAAGCCATCTGACTGCCACTTCCCACTCCCCCAGTTGCAAGTCTGGGCTTCCAGAACTTCTGACAAACCAGTTTCTTTTTCTTTTTTTTTTTTTTTTGAGTTGGAGTCTCACTCTGTTGCCCAGACTGGAGTGCAGAGGCACACTCCCAGCCACCGCAGCCTCAACCTGCTGGGCTTCGGCGATCCTTCCACCTCAGCCTTCCAAGTAGCTGGAACTACAGGCGCGCACTACCACACCCGGCTAATTTTTTGATTTATTGTAGAGATGAGGTCTCGCCAAGTTGCCCAGGCAGGTCTCGAACCCGTGGGCTCAGGCAATGTACTCATCTCAGCCTCCCAAAGCGCAGGAATACAGGTTGAGCCACTGAGCCCAGCAACAAACCGGTTTCAAGTTAAGGGTACTTACAACCACCTCTCTGAGTTCAATTAATTCACTGGAATGGCTCACAGAACTCAGGAAACATGTTTATCTGTTTATTATAAAGGATATTACAAAGGATACAAGTGAACAGCCAGATGTAAGAGATTCTAGGGTGAGATATGAGGGAAGAGGCACAAAGCTTTCACACTTTTCCCAGGCACCACCCTCCAGAAACCTCCACGTGTTCAGCTATCTCTGAACCCAGGCTTTTTGGATTTTTATGGAAGCTTCATTACATAGGCATAGTGATTAAATCATTGGCCACTAGTGATTAATTTAACATTCAGCTTCTCTCCCCTTCCCAGAGGTGGGAGTGTGGGGCGAAAAGTCCCAACCCTCTAATCACAGGACAGTCTTTCAGGTGACCAGTCCCATCCTGAAACTACCTAGGGGCTGCCAGCCATCAATCAACCATTAGCACACACAAAGAAATCTCACTTTGGAGGGTCTAAGGATTTTAGGAGTTGTATGCCAAGAAAATGGGTCAAAGACCAAATACATATTTCACAATACTACATAGTATTGACTCCAATCCAAGATCTTTCTTTGAAACAAAATGCTTGCAAAACATTTTATAAAAACTCAACCTAAGTGACCATCAATGGATAAATGGGTAAAGAAAATGAGGTACATGTACACAATGGAATATTATTGTCATAAAAAAAATGAAACTCTTCAGCCAGGCTCAGTGGCTCAGCCTGTAATCCCACGCCTTGGGAGGCTGAGGTGAGTGAACTGCCTGAGCCCGTGGGTTCGAGACCTGCCTGGGCAATTTGGTGAGACCTCATCTCTACAATAAATCAAAAATTAGCTAGGCAGGGTAGCGCGCGCCTGTAGTTCCAGCTACTTGGAAGGCTGAGGCGGAAGGATCGCCAGAGCCCAGCAGGTTGAGGCTCCAGTGGCCGGGAGCGGCCACTGCACTCCAGTCTGGGTGACAGAGTGAGACTCCAACTCAAAAAAAAAAAAAAAAAAAGTTGGTTGGTAGTTACCAGAGGCTGAGAAGAGGGGGTAGAGATGAAGGGAGGCTGGTTAATGAACACAAAAATGCAGTGAGATATAAAGAATAAGATCCAGTGTGAGGTAATACAGTAGAATGACTACAATGAACAATAATTTATTGTATAGTTCAAAATATTAACTATATTAGTTATTAAGCGAGAAGAACGGAAATGTTTCCAACATAAAGATAAATGTTTGACGTAGTGGATATCCCA